AAAATCCTATATAGAAATAGGATCATAATACTTGTTTCTGTTCATACTTTTAATTTAAAAACTGCTGCAGCACATTATGGATGGAGGCTGGTCGGTGCGCTGTTTATTGCTTATTTAGGCAGTCATAAATACACAACGCTGGCAGTGCAGATGAACAGTTGTATAGTTTTATGACTGTTCAGTGCCGGCATCTTGGATTGTTAACTCAGGGTTGCTGGGTCTTCTCCGACTTTCCTGGTGGGAAATCCGAGTCGAAGGGGAATTCCAGATTTCAGCTCTGACTGAGAACTCAGAAATTCCAACTTCCAACTTTTTTAGGAACACACCAACAGTCATACTGAGACAGAGAAGGGTAAACTGTTCTCATGAAGTTAGATACACAGAATTGTTTCGAATATCGTGGTAAGGCGTCAGGTAAGAGCTGTTGGCAACCACAACAGAAAAATGTGAATTCCCTAACAGGTTTGTAAGTGGCAGCCAGCGGTTACTGGCAGCTCTGTGAGATCATTCATAAAGGTCTAAACAGATGTCAGTGAATCCCTGATTACTGCGGTTTATTAGTGAAACTGTGCTTTGAAACTGCTTTGTTCGGTAGCACATGATCACCTGCAGTTTGCATGGAAGATACCAACTGGTCTCAGTTTCATTACCACATAGTGCGTGGTAGTGAGAGTCTGAAAAGTGTGAGAATGCTTGCCTTCAAAGTGAAAGTTGCAGCTTTTCGCATGTGTTGGTTGTAGTGGTGAGGCACAACTTTTACTCTGAAGACAAAAACTTTCTCTGTTTTGGTGTAATACACACTTTGCAGCCAATCACCTGGGAACAGCGAGCAGTCTCCAGGAAACACTTGCCAGCCAATCTCAGAATACACATTTTTCCCTAGCAACTGCAGGCCTATGTGACTGAACTAATGGGCCCCGACCAACCCCAGCCTGTCCATACAGTGTAGATCAGCTCCTTCAACTGTATCATACCGTCAAAAACATACACCAGCTTTTTTTAAGTTAACTTCACAAATGTTTGTTTCCCTTCATTTCTCCACTTTTTTTCCTACAGTTTGTTCAGTATAATATGTTTGGTTTTCCTGCATATGTCAAGGATATCACCGACAAAAGCTTATTTTTATTGTGCAAAAATATCACAGCAAGAGTGAAAGCAATTCATTTTTGTTAAAATAAATGAGTCACCTTCCAAAGGCAATTTCTGCTTTACTGTAATCTTGGTTAAATAGTTGGAAATATTGCAGCTGCTCGTAGCTCACCTCTCCTCACGATGCTGTTTTTCTTGTTATTGGTTTGAAATAATTTGATGTTTTCTTTTCTGCTTTTGCAAACCCCTCTAATGTCATTTTCCTGGTTTTCTGAAAGACACTGTGGAAGTTTCCTCTGACCCTCCATCCTCAGTTAAATTCTTGATCTATTTTTATTTCTTTTTTTCACACTGTGTGCCTTCACTTTCTTTAATGCCTCAGAATGAGATGAAAGCCCAGTGCAATTAGGCTTCTTATCGTTTTAATTAGGAAAGCCATTCGGCCATATCTGCCTCAGACGCCATAACACATAATGGCGGAGAGTCTCTGATGCCTGAAGTAGTGATTGTGTGCGTGTGTGTGCGTACGCATGTGTTGTGTGTGAGTACATACAGTACTCACACACAATTGTGTATATTTGTGTGTGTAAATGTACGTCCTAGTAACACAGTTCCCTTCTTTCCTCTTTTATCAGTCTGTGTTCTCCAATCGCTATTCCCACTTGTGCGTCTCTCCAAACATGTTGTTCTATCCCTCGTTACTTCCTTCCCCTCAAAGAGACAAGGTCAAAGAGTCCTGTATAAGTACTTGAAACTCAATTCAACTATGTTGTCTGAGCGTTCCTTTTCAAACCCTTTTGTCAGGGTTTGCTTCGTTAATGCAGCTTTTCTTCCTTGACGCTACAGCTAGATGTACTGATTTTACTGTATGTTTTTATCTGTTTCAATTTGCGCACACACACACGCCCACGTAGGATACACAAACAGTTTATCAGTGTGCATGTAAACTGCTCATTTCTCCATATCTGTTTGCATAAGATGAGAGAGCTACATGGCTGAAACCAAATTATTTCTGCATTTTTTTCTTCTTCTTTTGCCCCTCATCTTAAAGAGGGGAAACTGTAACTACCCTGATAGTGGTGTTAACACCAAACCAGCTCCTCTGCTCGCCTCTCTTCTTTCTCCCCCTCTCCCTCCATCCTCCCTTTCCTCCCTCCTGTTACCCTAGCCTATCAGTGCGGAGCAGTGGTCTGTGAAGAAATTCCCAATATCTAAATTTACACACTGTATCAATCTTGTTTAATAGACTGGAAAGCTTATAGCCGCCGTGGCAAGCCGGCAGAGAGGGCAGCGGTGATAAATTGTCGGTGTGCAGGCGACAGCCGCCCGTGATGTATAATGAAATATTTATGATTTATCCCAGCTAATAAACTGAAATGAAGTGCATGATGTATGGGAACAGATGGGCCCTCTATTGATGCTGAGGTGGAGAGGCAAGAGGGGGGAAGAGGAGACAGGAAGAGAGGTGGAGAGAAGGAAACAGAAGATGTGATGAGAGATGTTTGAGAGGTAGTTGGGAAAAAAAAATGAAGCATAAAAATAGAATTGAAAACGTAAGAAAACATAGTTTGTTTGTGTTTGTGTGGCACTGGAGCTGGAGAAGCTGAAAACATGGACGTATAGGTAAGACGGATGGAGGGATATGGGGTTAGCAGTACAGACTAAATGATGGAATAGAGGACAGGTGGAAGATGGCAGTAAAAACAGACCACCATCAAAATGTAATCCCTCTCCTACAATGCTTTGTGTTGATTCCAGGTGAGGCAGGTGCAGTTGTTTTCTTTTATTGACTCCATATTTTTTAGCTACAGTCTGCAAACATGCACAGCTTTACCTTAAATGTTCTTAACTGAGCAACACTGAGGTTTTTTGCAATGCTGAGGGGTGCTGTGTAAAGCTTACAAGTGCAACTATGTCCCTCAGAATTGTTCAGCATTTTGGGGAATAAACGTCCAACCATGCCTTTAAGGATTTTGCTTTGTGCACTTTTTTACTGAAAGTTAAACTGCTGACACAATTTTAATCAATATGAAGCTCCAGCCAGCAACCAGTTACTTTAACAGGAACAAAAGGAAAGGCTAATGTGTGATATCATGTGCAGTAACATCATATATGATTTGTGTGGCATCTTTAGGATAGGTTTATACTAACTTGCAAGCTGTGTACACAGATGCTGTGGAGACTGAACAACTGGTGTCCAAGTTGTGTTTTTCCTAATTCTCGGGTGCAGAGTACACCGGAAGGACACGTGTGTAGCGGGTATATCGTAGTATAGTATGCACAGAAAAGTAACACAAAAAAGCAATCACATGCAGGTTTTCAAGGCATGGCTGTATTACCTCTTTGTGATCAAATGTACCTGTAGATTCTTCCCTAACAACCTGTGGATGTTGGAGGTTTCACTGACCAAGCCCTGTGTGACTGAGGCTTTTGAAATTGGTTTCACAACAACTGCCAGCGACCACTTGCCAACCAGATGGAAACTACAGTTTTTTCCTTAGCAACCCTGGTAGTTGCCAAGGTGTTCCCAGCCAAGTGTGACTAGGACACTAAACACATGAAAAGTAAATTAAAGATTTCTGTGGCCATCATAATAATGTCCTTATAGAGAATTCTTTTGGTCATAATAATTATGTAGTGAAAATCTGAGCTCATGACATCCTCCGGACAAAGTGCTAAATCTGTTTATAAGCACCTCTAAAACTCACTAATGAATATGCTAATAGAAAAAATACGAATAAAATCAAGAGTGTAGCATTTTTACAGAGCATTTACTGAGAGGACTGTTTCTTGGCAGAAAGTAGAAAATTCCCAGAGTTTCTGTTTGCTTAGAAACTTCACAGGGACAGTTTTGAAATTATGAGATATTCAAGTAGTCACGTCAGTCAGTAGTGTGTTTAATGGAAGGCTGAGTGTATACATGGGTCTTTGTGTCTTTGGTTTGGAAGAGCAAACCAAAGACACGCGAGGAAAAGAGGCCAGGAGCCCAAAGAGAGAGAGAAATAACCCAGATGGCAGTCCTTTATGCACTTTGCTCTCTGCTCAGCCCAGATCTTGCTGGTTCATGCAAACAAGCTTCCCAACTCCACCTACCAACTTCCTGGATAGAGAAAAAACCCAGCTGAGCACGATGAAAACTGGAAGATGTGAAAAGTTGTCATAATAAATGGGTGAAAAAGAGTCAGATTTTCTAACATCACAGCTGGCTTTAAGACTTAAAGGTTCACTTTGCATATTTGAACAGTCCCTGACCTTCGCTGACCTTTTAACCTATTCATCCAACCTTAACTGCTATGCTTCATTTCATCACAGTGTCTCACACACTTACGTCCACTCTCTGTTTCAGCTGTGGACAGCCCCAATGTAATTCTGCTAAAGAATATATTCCTGATCCTTATTTTCAGGCTTCCTCTCCTTCCCTCCTCCGTCCATTTTTCTCTCCCTAATCTCTCCCCACTGATCCATACTGACCCATTTCCCCAGCTCGTCATACACGAGCGCAGCTGCGCCCCTCATCCCACGTACTGTACTCGCCTTCCCCCACACCTGTCCCCCAGAAACGTATGTATGAGTGTGCGTGGGTCTGTGGAGGATGTATGTCTGGAGGATGGGGCAACTTAAACACTCATCTATCCACTGTTATCTGACTTTCTGTGTCTCAAACACACACGCTCTCTTACACACAGATACAAGTTTGCATACCCTACATTCCCTATTCTTAGCTATAAAAAAATATTACTTAATTTTTTAATTGAGTTCATTATCAGCCTTGTTTTTAGGTGTATATATTGTAATTGGGCTTAATAACTTCTTGTTATAGAAATGGTGTTCCAGAAAATTATGACTGTATTTTTCCCTGTGTTTCCCTTACATCACATTGTCCTCCTTGTATGGGCCTGTCTGTATTCTAGGAGACACCGCTGTGTATAAAGACGGCGTATATTGGATCATGGGTCGCACCAGTGTCGACATCATCAAGAGTGGTGGCTACAAGATCAGCGCACTCGATGTGGAGCGTCACCTTCTGGCTCATCCAGACATCACGGGTAAGTGGAATGAAGTAATGTCACCACTGTAAGACACATGTAATTAAAGCCCTGAATCAGCACCTCAACCATTTGATCACTGTTAATATCCAGCAGTTATGTGCTGAAGGTAACTCATCAAAAATGAGTTTGGTGTCCTTTTGCTGTTGTAGAAAGACAAAAATAAAGGAGTAGCTGAATCTTACCTGCAGCTTGTCTGATTTTTATTATTATTATTATTATTATTTAATCTTGTAGATGTTGCTGTGATTGGAGCCCCAGATGCCACGTGGGGTCAAAAAGTCACTGCTGTAGTGCAGCTGAAGAGGGGCAAGAGTATGACTTTGCCAGAATTGAAGACCTGGGCAAGGTACTGTGACTTTCAGCTGAATAACCTTTGCTTTGTGCACTGTTTTTGGAGCTTTCTAATGAATTTTGTCTCTTATTATGCACATACCAACCGGTGTAGTGGTTTATTCACCTAGCAAGTGAGCAAGCTCCGGTGAGGAGATACTGACACCTTTGAGCTTGAGTCAAGAAGGCATCCAGTTTAAAAAGTCTGCCAAACAAACATGTAAGGCAGACAAAAGTAAGCATTATGTGCATAAAATCCATCCACTCTCTTACCCACTTATCCAATTCAGGTCACGGGGGGGGAGACTGGAACCTATCCCAGCTGTCACAGGGTGAAAGTCACTGTGTGTATACCTGCTTTTATTTTGATATTTGATATATTTTCCACATTTTTGCATAAACCTGTACTATTCTATCAGGCTATGCTGATATTAACATCCACACTGCGTGAAAATCCCTGCTGTATTTTCTTTCAGGCAAATATGTGAACTGTCAGAAAAGTTTAAGGTGACTCTGCTTTTGGAGGAATGCACTCTGTTCACCAGATAAACACGTCCAAGTGGAAGCAGACTTTATTAAAACATGGACTTTGCATTGTGAATATTCTAATTGTGCAGTTTTCTTTAGCACTTGTTGAGACTGGTCTATTCAGGGTGATGATTTTTTTTTTCTCACAGCATTATAAATCACTGGGAAATGTGTTTTAGTGTCTAATAGAGCAAAATAATTCTATTCTGTTTTTTATACATATATCGAGATCCAGTTCACAGTAGCAGTTCAGTCTTACAATGTTTATATTGTAACACTGACACTGCAGTATTACAGAGAGAAACCCAGTCATATGAGAAAAAACATGGATTTATTGCTTTAAACTGGTGTTTCAACTGGTGTTGGACTTTAAACAGCAAAGCTTTGGGGTTTTTTTAAGCAAAGTGTTGCTTTTGAAAAAAACAGACAATCCCACTACTAGCCACTGGACCACCTGCCACCTTTAAAAGTGCTTTGCAGCCCAGGGGGACTCCAAGCTCATACCACCAGTGGAGATTGTGACCTGAATAACTTACAACTAATCCATCATCCCGAATCCACAAAAACAAACTCCAAAAAGAGCATCGTATCCCATTATTATTACAGGACTGTGTTTTTGTTAAGTCTTCTTAAGCTGATTTAAAAGGACAATCTTCACAGCTCTTTGTCAGTTCTGCTCAGTGCTGGGGAAACTACTTTAAAGGCATAGCTTTGCAATTAACCTATTACTTCATACTAGAAGTAATAGATCTAAAATAAAACTACCCAATGAATAAGTCTAGTTTTATAAAGCTGCTTTGAAGAAATAGTTCAAATAGAAAATATATAAAATATAACATTACAGTAACATTGTAGCAATAAAATCCTCCTAATCGGGCCTTCTCGGCTGAGGTAGTCAGTGTTATGCATTTGTGTGGCCATGGTGATTTGAGATTTGGGATGTTTTATGCATGATGACTTTGTCACTGTGTGAGCATAAGCAGTGCTAACGAATTAATCACCGTGCCTTTGCAGGAGATGAATAAACAGTGGGTGGGGCTTGTAAAAGGAGGTCCAATTACAGTAGAACAGCAATGTTAAAATAAAAGGTAAAAAATCCTTCATTTAAATAGAGAAAAGAATTGAACTGCTTGAATCACTCCTAAACTACAAGGGACCTCCTTAAAAAAAGAAGAATGGTTAGCATAAATGTTAACGTTCATGACAGTACAATTAGGAGCAAACTCAACAAGTATGGCACTGAGTCAACCATGAAAGTATGCTCGAGTCAAATGTGAGGCCATCTGTCTGACAGCTTGGCCCATCCTGAGTCATGCAACAGGACAGGGATCCGGGCTCAGCAGCAAATCTGCAACAGAATGACTGAAAAGATCAAAGAAAGCATTGCAATGGTCCAACGTCCATACTTCGACCTGGTTTAAATACTGGGGTGGGAACTTAAGAGAGCTGTGCATGAATGAATGCTCACTGACCTCAATAAACTGAAGCAGCATTGTAAAGATGAGGGCTATGAGTTCTCCCACAATAATGTGAGAGGCTGATAAAGTCATACAGAAAACCATTGCTTCAGGTTATTGCACTTTATTTTTGCTAAATAAATAATGTCATGGTGTAATATGTCATGTTTTGTTCTTCATCTGACATTGTCATTACCTAATTTCAGGACCTGGAAAGGGCTGGATTTTTGTCTTGACTTGTAAGACCTTAGAACTGAAAGCTAAACTACTAGTTCAATTATATGTAGTTTAGTGGACCAAATAGAGGCACCTAATTCAGACTGTGTGGGTCTCTGAGCAGCACACACATCCCCAGTGACTGGCCTTCAAGTCCCCAGATCGATAGCAAAGGATGTGAGAGAAAGAAAGGCCAGAGATGGACTAATGAGGGAGATGAAAAAGAAGAAGATGTGGAGGAAGCGAACAAATGATTATTACAGAGGACTTTGTCCTGCTACCTAACAGTTTGGTTTTTTTCACCTCGCTTCCTAAATGTCAGCAGAGTTTATTTTGCCTGCTAGAGACAGTTACTGGTGACATTCACCCTCCACATTGCAGTGACACAAACAGTCTTTTTTTATCTCCTGCAGTCTGTTTTCATAAAAAATCTGCTCTCACTCTCTTTTACACCCTTTTCTTCACTTTCCAACCATCTGTTTTTGTCCTCCACACTTTCTACAACCCACCAGTGTCATTTATTTACATCACTGAATTCTTGTAGAGCGCAGTGTGTGTGTGTGAGTGTGTGTACTGCTGTGAGCTCCATATGGTGTATGGATGTTAGATCCCACTGCTATCGCCTGCTGGTCCAGTATGGTAGATTACAACTACTGCCTGTGACTCAGGTTAACACACACAGACACACACACACACACACACACACAGTGTTTGCAGCCAGGGGTCCTCCCAGAAGACAGACAGTTCCAGCACACAGCCCTCTGCTGAGGCCTGTGTGTAGGGGAGAGAGAGAAAGAGATAAAATGAGACATAAACAAGTAGATGGATGCTCACTCTTCAGTGCCCTGGCTTCAGCTGTCAGTCTGAATCTCTGTCTCACCCTCACTGCCTCACACTGCCTCGAACGCTCAGGCTTATGCGCGCGCACCCGTGCACGCAGACACACAGGAACACGTTGCCCTGGAGAAATTGGCGACACAAGCACGCAAGCCCTCGTTACAGAGACGTGTTCGTATCCGTGTATATTCACACTTCACTCACTCAGTCAGAAACACGCGGACATCTTCTGCAAGGAGTGTTTGATGGCGGTCATATCAGTCATTATGCTCGCACACACGCACAACTGGATTGCACACCAAAGCACGCGCGCGTCCGCACAAACAAACAAACAAACTAGGTTAGAAGATAATAAAAAAAGCTCCGGGCTTCAAGACTTGACGTAACAACCAGGCATTCAAAACGGAAAAAAATAAAACACTTTTAATTATCACAGCCTTCTGTTTTCCCTTTTTATTATTTGTTTATTTTTATTTTTTTATTTCATCTTGCAGTGATTATATTGTTTTTGTACGAAGGGGGATTGTCTGTGTCTGGAAGGCGAATTGGGGATATTAAGGGAGAAGAACAGCAGAGTGTATGAAGGACGTTTCCTTATCTCGACTACTCCGCCACAGGGCTAGCCTTTGTTTTGCAGTTGTTTGCTGTTTTTTCTTTTTTCTTTTTTTGTTGTTGTTGTTGTTGCGTATTTGTGTGTGCATCCATATTAACAGTGGTGTTTATTGCAGGGAGCACATGGCACCCTACACCATACCTACAGGCCTGGTGGTGGTAGAGGAGATGCCGAGGAATCAGATGGGCAAGGTCAACAAGAAGGACCTCCTGCGACTATTCTTTTCATGACTGGAAAACTTGCATGACAACATACAGGTGCCTGGATAAAGAACTGCAGATGTACATCAGAAACACGGCTGTTTCTCTCTGCACACAGGTAGACAGAGAGGAGGCAGAAAAGTAGATGAAGACATCATGGAACATCGTGGAAGCTAACATTTGAGGAAACTTATTCGCAACTATAAATACACTATAAATATAATTTATATGTAAAATGTAATACACAGCGGAGGGCACATCATAATCAAAGGTTTTGCGACTGTGTGCAATGAACTTGTGACCTCGTGACCTTGAACGGGTATGTAACCACTGCCATCTTCAAAACAACATTGGTGCATCAAGACTGATAAAATGGCAAATAAAAAGGAGGCAGCCAGTTTCACAGTTTGCGAGTGAATGGGGTCAAGTTGGCAAATAAATGCAAAAATCAGATATATCAGGAAAAATTGTAAATACATTGCTGTCTTCAAACACAGAAAGCCAGATTACAGAAATTCACATTAACTTCTTACGTTAAGAAGTTAGCAGAACCTCGCAGGTTTGAAACAGAAATTCCTCCACAAAGTAGTTGTTGCTACGGTGATTTAACTATGTAACCAGAATACAGCCAGCTGGCAACTAGGCGACTCAAGTCCCCAGTTACAAAGAGTTTGTGCCCATTGGTGGAAACTGATGCCGATTGATTGCAATATGTTTGCACCCTGTTATTAATTATTTGCCAAGCTCTCTGAGAGTGAGTGCAGTCAGTCTATGATTGCTGGGAGACAGGTTTCCTCCCATTAGGAGGTCACCTGTGGAGTCACATTGCAATCTGTAACTAACTAAATGCAAGTAGTTGCAGTGAGCAAGTAGTACCATCGTTCAATCACTGGGCAAACATGTTTACTGTCTACCACTTTTTACTCTTCTGTGACAATGAAAAACTGTGGAAATCATCAGTCTGATATTTGTTTAGGGCAGTATTAAACAGAACTTCTGCAAGGAGACACAGTGTTAGCGACACAAAATTAGCCATATTAGCTTCAAAAAGGTGTGGTATAAACAGTGTTTCTGTACATGTTTGCTGTTATCCAGGTCATGACTTAGGTCCAAGAGATTTGATTCAAACTTGAGGGAACTTCTTGTCTTCAGGAATCAAAAAGAAGACCCTTTGTCTTCTACTGAAGTACTTATCATATAAAAAAACCAAACACTTCAATTGTGAGTGTGCTTTCAAATGATGCTACTTTCCCACAATGAAAGGTGCGTAGAGGACCTTTTTAGAGCTAAAAAAAAAAAGTGAATCGGTTGCAAATGTTTGTGGCAGCTCTTGTTAAACAAAAAATAAATATGAAATTTCAAACACTTTGTGAAGTGTTTTGCACCCAGCGAAACTGAGGGGTCCGCTCTTCAATCTGCATTAATGAGAGGGGAACAGCTAGCTGTGGTGTGCATGCATCGTGATGACTAGGATTTTCAAATGCTCCACTAAAAAAATGCTCAAACCCAGAAGCAGCGTTTGGTAAATGTGCTCTTATTGAAATATTCTGATGTTTGATTAGTGAAAATGGTGTGATCAGAGAATGCACAATGACAGCTTTTTGTGGTAGAGTGGTGTAACCAGAATCAAGGATCATGGTTAATTAAACCTGCACTAAACAAAATGAAAGCCGGTGCAGTGGTAAATCAGGAGAAAGACGATGAACACTGTTGGGTTGATTTAGTTTTGTAAACACACTGATGCACTTGGAATAACAGTTTTCATATGAAAATTAAAAAGTTTTGGAAATTTTTAATTAAAAAGTGTTTTGGAAGTTATTTTTTTCCCAAAGAGTGTTACACTGTGTCTGTGCAGCTGTGGCTATGCAGGTGCAATGAGAGCCTGAAGGCGGATTCTCTAGCAAGGCACAACACCACAGCTGGATGCCCCGCACTCCATCTGACTAACCCTCTCGCTCCGCTCGCTCTTCTCACCTCTCATCGGTTCTCCTCTCCATTCCTGCAATGTCTAACCTCTTCTGTCTTCATCACGAGTTACGACAAATTGCAGTGGTACCGGGACCGACTCGGCTGTGAGACTCTTCTCGGATGAACCCTGGCGTGCCGCCAGAGTGTGCAGAGAGCGTGTGAAGAGATGTAAGTAAAGCCAGGAAAAGAAGACAAAAATACGATGCAGGACTGTCACAGTGATTGGATTCCTAACAACAGCTGTGAAAATGTGGGTGAAAGAAATTAATATGCAAAAAATAAGGTCAGCAAAGGGCATGAAGTAAGTGATACGGCCGGGGCAATAAGCAACGAGGAGAATGAGCCAAGGCGATACGGTTGAGATAAACAGTCGTGGTGAAGAGTCGGAGGACTGAAGATAGAAAGAAATACAAGTGCAGCCCCCAGCTGATACAACCTTCTGTCCACACACAGAAACACACACGCACTCGTCCGCCCACAGTCACCAGAGACCTGATTAAGAGAGCAGAGCTATCGATCTGTGGGCTGGCAGGCTAGGATGGATGAGCAGGCAGGGCTGCAAGAGCACCAGAGGACAGCTTCAGTGCCCCCAAATCCCCACGCCACCCCACCCAACCACCCACGCCAGAGCCGGGAGTCAGCTGGGGCCACGTGCAAGAAGGCTGGGGCTGCCACACGGAGGCTGCAGCGAAGCAGCAGAGGGTCAAATTCAAACTGAAGAGCGTGTGTGGTGTGAAGTAATCAGTGCACCGTACTGTGTGTATTCAGGCGAGCACCAAGGACAGGTCTCGGTGCTCACCTGGTGCACACACGGGAGGGGCCGGGGAAGGTGGTGGCTATTCCCTGGACTCAACTTGATGGAGTACTCGTGCCCTTGAACTGTCTCTACCTCCCCTTTTTGCCTCTCTCTCTCACACACACAAACACAAACGCACTCGCCCATGTTTGCCGAAGCGTGGTGGAAGAGGTTGTCTGCAGATGGCTGCTTATTGGGCCCCAGGGTCCTGGAAGGTGGGTTATGGGGGACACCGATGAGACCGTTTGTGTATTTGAGATACAAACAGTGTTTGTGGCAAAGGTGATGGTACAAAGAAGCTAACACAGAGTTCAAGTTATGCTGATTGTACCCTTTTTTTCACAGTTTCACTTTTTTATGTAAACCTATCTGCACATTTAGCTTCCTTTTCCTATTAACAGTAACTTTTCTTATTGCATCAGGTACACTAATCAAATGCCAAATGATTGAATCACTGCGTCATTTTCTGTGCTGGCCTTTCAGAAACCTATCCCAGCATGGGTCTCGTTGATGGCAGACAGTGTTAGCTTCACTTCAGGGTGGATGGAGACCTTTAAGCAATCAGTTGTGTCTTCTAAACCAAATCAAAAAACATAATCATGTATATTGAGACTTTCAAATTAAAAGTGACAAAGCTTTTCTTTTTCCAGAATTATAGCCATACTATGCTATAGCAGGTCAACATCAACTGCTCTCCATCATCTCACCTTTTAAGAGGGAATGTAACTGTTTTCATTCATAGAGGTGCTAAGTTAGTTTTTATCAAAACAGAGTGCAGCTCCAGCACATCACTGCTGATTTACTCCACTGTAATCTGTTAGAAACAGCAGATCATCTGCCTTCATCTTGAGCGTCGTCCTCCGTCACACCAACTCTCTGCATGTCCTGCTTCGCAGCATCCACAAACCCTGTGGTCTTCTCTTCTACCAGCAATATATTGTCCAATATATCCACTATCCCTTATTTACACATGTCCAAACCATCTCAGCCTTACCTCTCAAACTTTGTCCCTCTAATGTATTCATTTCTAGTCTTGCCCATCTTGTCCACTTGTTATGAAAGTCTTAACATCTTCAACTCTGCCACCTCCAGTCTTTTTGTTATTTAATGTCACGATCTCTAGACCTTTCCTTTCAATCCATTAGAAAGTGTTTGGGAAATGGGCTGATATGTGTTTGATATGATATGTGTTTGTTCCTAAGTCTAAGGTCAAAAGACAACGGCCATTTCCATGTCTGTCTGCTCAGAATATAGACTGGAAAGAGAAGGAAACAGCTTCCCAGGATGTTGGTCAAGGCCGAGAAACAAGGTCTTTTTTACGCTTTTGGGCAGATCAAACATTATGTGATTACTTTATTCCAGATACAACTGTATCATATTTCTTTAAACATATTTCCGCAATATAAAACTATCATGATAGGCTGTGGCTCCTTGGTAAGATACTGAGCCCCATGTTGCTCCTTATGCATCCACTGGAGTTTGGAGTTTAAAGGCATAGAATAAAGTGCTATTTGAATGTGTGTGGGGAAAGCCACTTTATCAACAAAAATAATAAAAGCAAAGTAATGTGAGTATACAGAAGTTAAAATTTTATATGAAAGATACTATAGAAAATTGTTCCAAAGTTTACTGGCAATGGCAGCAAATATACAGGGTGGGCCATTTATATGGCTACACCGTAATAACATGGGAATGGTTTGTGATATTAAAGTCCTGTTTGTGGCACATTAGTATATGTGAGGGGGCAAACTCCTCAAGATGGGTGGTGACCATGGTGGCCATTTAGAAGTCGGCCAT